ACATCCCAGATGTGCCCCTGGCAGTGCCCTAATTCCCCTGGGATCCCCCTGGATCCCACTGCTGCCCACGGACACTCCTTGTCCCAGAGCTGGACAGAACATCCCAGATGTGCCTCTGGCAGTGCCCTAATTCCCCCCAGGATCCCCCTGGATCCCACTGCTGCTCAGAGCTGGACAGAACATCCCAGATGTGCCCCTGGCAGTGCCCTAATTCCCCTGGGATCCCCCTGGATCCCACTGCTGCCCACGGACATTCCTCGTCCCCCAGAGCTGCTCCCCACCCTCCCCTCACCCAGAGCCCGTTTGCTCCGGGAATTAGGGAACTTTGCAAGGGAAATTATGCAAACCCTCCTCCAGAGCAGGCTCCCAGCCGGGTCCAGGTGCTGGGAAAACTCTCTCCTGCCTCTTTCAGAGGCTGGTACGTCCCTCCAAAGCCCTGGAGCTTGAACTCCTTCCAGGGCTGCTCCGTTTGGAGGTGGCTCGACATCATTCCCGGCCCAACCGGTTCTTCCTGACACTTGGGAGGTGCTGGGCAGCTTTGAGCTCTGTCCAGGGGCTCTTTGGCAGCTCTGGCACCTTCAGGCCCTGAGTGCACGAGCTGGTGCTGCCCCTGGACCGGGAAAAGCCCCGGGATCCATCCAGGAGGAGCAGCTGGAGGAGGCCCAGCCCAGGGAGGACACGGAGCTGCTGGAGCTGCTCCAGAGGGGCAGAGCAGGGGCTGCCAGGGGGAAAAGGGTTTCCTTTCTGTTTGTAAAGAGGGGGGAAAAAAGGAGGAAAAATAATTCCTGTAATTCCAGGGGGTCCAGAAGTGAAAGGCAGGACGGAGCAGAGCGGGAAGGAGATGCTTTGAGTGATCAGGAACCCTTTAATTGACCCAACTTGCTGGATTATGGGATATCCTGAGCTGGATCCCACAAGGACCATGGAAGTCCAAGCAAAACCCAATCCCAAGGTCTCTCCTCAAAGCTGCTCCATCCTGGATGAAACATTTTCATTTAGGTGTGTAAGAAATTTAGATATGTAAGAAAACATCACAAAAAACTCGCCCCAGGGAAGGAAAAGCACATCCCAGAAAACCCTCTGCCTCCCCCAAACGCTCCCAACACCCCCAGACTGCCCACTGGGATGATTTTGGGAAGGGACTGAAGACAAAGCAGGCCAAGGGTGGGTTCATTTGGAAGTGGCCGTTTTTTAATTAAAGGGAACTATTTATATATGTACAAAGCCCAGAAAATATTGCACCATTAGAAGAAACAAGGTTGTTTTACATCTGATCACCTGCTGAGGACACCTTGGGATGGACCTTCCACGGCTCCTGGGGCTGCTGGACACCTCGGAATTCCACTGCTCCAGGAGGAAACACCTTCATCCTTCCCACCCTTGGCTGGATTCAGGGAAGAAATCCACCCCAGGGTGCTCCCAGCAGCATCCAGGACCCTCCTCAGGCTGCTCCAAGGACAAATCAAACTCTGGGAATCTGCCCCGAAGTCCCTTCGGGGCTCGGTCGGTGCCTTTTCCTGGGGAGAGTCTCTCAGGGCTCAGCCCCTGGGACACGTGGAAGGTTCTGGAGGGAACCTTGTGCAGAGGGAGGGCCATCCCAGCGCTGGCTCAGCCCTGGCAGCTGCCACCCAGGAGTTTTCCAGGAGTTCCCCAGCCCAGGGGAGGCTCAGTAGGCCACGGCCCCGGGGTCCCGCGGGAGGCTGAAGAGCACGTCGGCCTTGGCGTTGATGAAGTAGGTGGTGAGCAGGGACAGGACCAGGATGGAGACTCCCAGCAGCAGGGTGAGGATCTGGGGAGGGAAGGGAACCCCCGGGGCTGTGGGTACAGCAGGGGCTGCAGCTCCAGGGGGGATGGAGGAGCACCCGGAGATCCAACCAGCCCCGAGAGACACCCAGGGCCTGGGGGACAGCACCTGAGGGGGGGACATCTCCTGATGGGGGGACACATCTCCTGAGGAGGGACAGCACCTGATGGGGGGACATCACCTGGCAGTGACATCATCTGACAGGGTGACATCATCTGATAGGGTGTGACATCACCGGACATGGTGTGACATCACCTGACAGGGAGTGACATCATCTAATGGTGACATCACCTGACAGTGCCATCACCTGACAGTGCCATCACCTGCCAGGCTGTGCCATCACCCCCCA